TTCACTTTTTTTTTTTTTTCTTTTTTTTTTTTTTTTTTTTTTTAAAGCTTGTGCCTTTAATAAAAAGCTTAGAAATTGCCAGCAGACACACAGACAGTGCTCAAGGGAGGGGGCTGCACAGGGCAATACCGCTCTCCCCCCTCTGAACCAAGGATGCGTTAAAAAACCAGAGCGGGGCCTCCGAGCTGCCTGGCCCCCCACGCGCGACCAGAGCTCTCTTGGCGTCACAGCCGCGTTGGCGCGAGGAGCTGGGTGGCAGGGAGGAGGCAGGGTGTGCCCCTCGAGTATTGCACTTCTTTCTCTAAGCCCACAGCACACATGCAAGCAGGGAAGGGTCTCCCTGTGTTACGCGGCCCACTGGGGAAGCCAGAAAGTGGCTACTAGCCCCTTGAACAGCTACTACGAGCCTCTTGTGAAAGACCTGCAGGGCCATGGGGCAATGGGGAGGAAAGACCTGCAGGGCCATGGGGTAATAGCAGGGGAGGGGGCATATTAGCCCATGCAGGGAGCTGCTGGGTCACGTGCTGGGCTAAGAGAGTATGGAGAGAGAATCAGCACCCAACCCTGTATCTTGAGGGCTGAGCCTTTCTGCTGGTCTTTCAGCCCAGCGGTGGCCTTCAAGGCTGAGCAGACGCTTGCTGAAACCCACCCCCCTGCCCACAAGAGTCCAGAAATTGAGGCCAGAACTTCACATTCTGGCACTTTACCTCTCGTGCCTTCCCCTTCCCCCTCAAATGGCCTGGTTGTCCCTTCTCCCGTCCAGCTGGCCCCCGTCTAGTCTGCATTTGTGAGCACCCAGACGACCTCCCTCTCCTGCCAGCAAGGAGACCCTTTAGGGCCACAACCCCCAGCAGTCCCTGTGCCCACACCACCTCCCCAAGACAGACGCATTTTAAAGTTGGAGGAAAAGAGCTTCCAGGTGGGCCGCGTGCTCCCCGCTAAAGGAGGGCGAGGGAGAAGAGGTCCCCTTAGCACAGACTCTCCGGCCAGAGAGCTCAGCTCTGCCGAGTTAAGGGCAGGGTCAGTTTACCAAAGCGATTCATGGGGTGGTGGTCTGTACATACGCTGCTTCTCCTTGCCCCCCGGCCCAAAGTCACTGACCGGCGCCCCGCTCCGAGGGAGCCCTCCCGGGACAGACGGCAGCCATGTGCGGTCTTGGTGTGAGGTGAGCCCCCGGCACGGGAAAGGGTGGGTGTGCGCACACGTGCGTGTGTTTGGAGTGGGAAGGGAAGGAAGGGAGGATGGACAGCTGTGGCTGGCATGCAAACAGGATCTCAGGGCACAACCCAGCAGATCCCATGTAAGGGCTCAGGTGGGTGGCTCCAGCCTCAATGGGCATTTGATCCAGGGCTGGTTTGTGGCTGTTGCATTCCCAGCTGCAGCTCCGCTCTTCCCCTCCCCTGTCCAGGCCCAGGATGTCATGGCAAGGACCAGGCTCTTATTGCAGGGGTTTAAAAGGGTTGCTTTCCAGCCAAGCATCCCAATGGACTTAGGCCCTGACTCTGTGTGGGGAGATGGAGGGTGGAACAGAAGGAGGGAGAGGATGGGGAAGTGGGCCACACTAAACTGTCCATGAAAGCCCAGGGTCAAATGCACACCCGGCCTCCCTCCTTGGCTGCACCTTCCCAAGGGTGTGGTGGCATTTGAGAGAGAGCATGCCCCTTTACATGGGAACGCGGGTGCTGCCTGGCCCTGTGCGCGCGTGTCGGGTTGTGTGTCTGCATGTGGTTGGTTTGGCAAGAAGTCATCAAGGTTACATGATGCAGCATTTGTTCTTGTGGTTGTGAGGGTCCTTGAATCGGAGTCTCTGCTTTGGCCGGTACTTTTCCAGGTAGGTGAGCTGCTTGCTGTTGATGGCTCCACGGCGCTTCCTGAAACACAAAAGCACAGACGTGGGTGTTCGTTGGCAAGCGCTGGCCTCTTCCCCAGAGCACAAGACTGACCGGGCCCCTGGGGATGGGTCAAGCAGCAAGTTCTCCAGTGAGCTGGCGGAGACAGGCAACCTACCTGCCCACACTCAAGAATTAGAGGAGGACACGTCTATGTCCATAACATACTCCTTCCCTCTTGAAGGAAAAGCATGGTTGAGGGACATGCAGGCTAATGGATCTCACGGGGACAGCTGTGGTCCAGCTGTTCCCAGAAGAAGGGCCGGGAGCCCTAAGGAGGATTCTGGTCTGCAGAAGACCAGGGGAAGGACTGGATCCCCTGAGAGGGCTCATCTCTTCCTACCCTTGTATCCACGGGAATTACAGATGTCTTGCTGCACGTTGGAAAGAGCAGTATGAAAAGGAAGCGAGCGCGAGCAGCATCCCTCAGCTGGCAGCAGGAGCTGGGGGCCTGCCAGCAGCTGAGGAAGAGCTGAACTCGCTCCTGCTGCATGGGCCGCTGGCGGTCAGAGCAGGGGAAAGGTGCGGAAGAAGCCACGCTGGAGCAGCGCTCACTGGGAGCTGCCAGGCCAGAGCGGAGCGCGACCACGGCCATTCAAGTGAGACAATGGGAGAGTGCAGAGCCTGCAGCTAAAGGCAAGGGTCAGCAGCGAGGAAGGATGTCTGCCCTAACCCAGGATGAGAGATGCAGCCAGATGGCCTTAATCTTCCCAGAAGAACAGTCAACTGCTCCCCTCCAGAGAGATTTCACCGGAGCGGAGAATACCCCAGCTCTGCACAGCCCTTCCCCTGGAAGGCTTCATTCTTCCCTCCCTCTCCTCCCCCTTCCCCATCCCAGTCCCGAGTCAGAGCCCTGGACCCGCGTTCTGGGGAAACGAACCTCAGGTCGACTCCGGAGGCTGCAATACGAGCATCTCAGATACACATGCAGCAGGTGACCCTCGCCCTGCCCATCCTTACAAGTCAGGAGCCTGCTGGCCTAGCGTCAGGGCTCTCTGCTTGTCTCCTTCCCTCCTCCAACATGACCCAACTCCTCCCTAACTTGCCTGACCCAGTTCGTGTCGGAGCCTTTGATTTGCCTAAGAAAAAGCTGTCGATACCGAGGCGGCCCGGCCCTCTGCCTGTGGGAGTCTTGCTCTATTAACCAACCGCTCGGGCTTCCAGCAGGAATTCTGCATTCGTAGGTCACCAGGAGTTGAGCAGACTAATTATTCCCCGATCCCTCCGGCTCTCAGCCACCAACGTAGCTGGGAAATAGTCACCCCGAGGCCGAGCAGCATAACAGCTGAGCTGGGCTGGGCTGGGCCTCATCAGCTCTGAAGGGAGAGCAGATCAATCCAGACACCAGCTCTAGAGCGAGGCCCAAGACATGCACAGTCCAGCTGGCTGGGGTGGAGGGGGAAGCAAAGGAGAAAGCAGGGGGAGGAAGGGGATAGTGCCTGGTTTGCTCTCTAAATTAAATCCAAGCTTCACGTCAGAGCTTTTGAGGAGGAGGAGAGGCTTTCCCCCCACCACTTCCTATGCAGCCAGGAGGCAGGAGACTCCCCCCGCCCGCACCCCGATCTCCTTTTGCTTCAGCATCTGGATGCTGTTCTTTTAAACAGCTTCCATGCAAATAGCTCTGAGCAGATAAATCCACATACTTGACTCTGAAATGTGCCATCTCCTGGTTCCCTTGCGTGACCCCATCATGAGCACCCCTGATTAACCCCTCACGTACAGCTGCCTCTGGGGGACGGCCAAGTTAGCCTGGCTATTGTACGCAGTGGACCTGCCGTGGAGCACATGGCAGGCAGATGCATGATGGGGCACTTACTGTCTAATGAACTGAATGGCGTCTTCATACTTCATCCCGCTCTCGATCAGAGCCAGCGCCACGAGAACTGGGGCCCTGGAAATAATGGAGAGAGATGATTTTCTCGCAAGGGCTCGTTTGCTGCTTTAAGTACAGGAATACCAGAAGTGAGGCATGAATAGTCACATACTCTCTCCAAATTTAAATCGTACTAAGTTCCCTCCGCTCCAAACCCTCAGCACCACACATACCCACAGGGATGACGTCCCACAGCTACGCAGCATACATAGCTCATGCAAAAAAAAAAAAAAAAAGCAGTGCTCTCACATCTAAGCATTACGGTACATCATGGAAAGGACCCACAGCAGCACAAATATAACAAGCATTGATTGGCACGAGACACCGTATAAACGCTGGTTTTTAGGCCTTCTAATCACCGGTTAACACCCAGGTGGAGGCACCGAGCATACAGAAATGATGCGGCTGTTGAACCTGGGTCAAAATAAGGAGGACAAACCTTGCAGCAGTTGGCTGCCCCCCTACAGAAAAAGCTTTGACTTCAAAGGAATTTGACAAATGATCACTAATTAGATAAGATGAATTACTGGTAGGTTCAGTATGAAACAAAGTGAGGAGGGTTAGAAGCCAAGTGTCCAAAAGGCACCTTCCCACTTTAATGGGGGAAGAGTTTGCAAACTGTGGCTCCAAAACAGACTGGAACGCAACCTTAAGCCCTCACAATTATCTGTCGCAAGAACGACGCGGGCTTCCACAAGGACCATCAAGCTCATTTCAGAGGCTGCTGCAGACCGACTGTGCAACAGCTTGTGAAGGGAAACAGAAGCAGCTGGCTGCTAGCACAAAGATCACCTCCTTGCACATCACAGTAAGGGTGCCAAGGATAGGTATCTGCATATCCACAGGGGTCGGCCCACCATCATCTCACCCCTACCTAGTTCGGGCCATGTATTTCATTTCAGACAGTGCCTTGCACTCCCCAAGGGCCTTCTTAGTGCTTCAGCAAGCAGCTGTGGCAACAAGTATGCCCACCACACCCTCAATCTTTAGGCACCGGCTGCAATTTTCAAAGCTATCTGGAGTCTCAGTGCCCCTGAAAGCTAGCATGACTCTTGCATCTAGATCCCCAGGTTTGGAGACGGCAGCCTGGAGCGTCACTTAGAAGAACAAGACTAAGAGGCCATCTGGGCTGTTTAGCACCGATGGACTTGTCAGACACATCACTGCAATGTATAAGTATGGACCAAGGGTTACACGTCTCCCATCAGCTGGGCTCAAGCAGATGCACAACAGGGCTGTGCTCTGTGCCGCGCTCAGCCTTGCACCCAAGAAGACAGAAAGAAGCTAATCAGGGACTGATCTGGTCCGAGGAAGGAGGGAGATCAGGGCTCGGGGTGTGTGTGATGCCATTTGGTCTTCCTCCTGCCACATCATGGAGCAGAGATACCTGTAGGTATCAAGTATTTTGCAACACCAGGACTTTCAGGAGTTTCCTCAAAGGGCTGGAGGCCCTTTGTCATCCTCCCCTGTGCCCAGAGGCAGCAGCGAGCCCATGTGCAAATGCACACGGAAAGACAGGCCTCGGAAGAGATGGGAATGTGCTTTGCCCTCACCTCGTCCTCCATGGCACATTCATTCCTAACAGCTGCAGGCAGCGTGCCCCCACCTTGCATCTCGCTCCCCTCGCTGGGGAAGGTTTGCCCCAGTGGCAGCTTTTAACCCCTCCTGACCCTGCTACTTACCGGCCCAGGCCAGCCACACAGTGAACTGCCACGCAGCAGCCGGGGTCTTCGCAAAACTTGGTCTTCAGCAGGTTGAGCCAGTCATCCACGATCTTGCTGGGGGGAGGAGCGCCGTCATCAAAGGGCCAGTCCTAGAGGAAGCACAAGGTGGGGGTTACAGCTCTGCAGCACTGTGCCCCCAGCCCCTCGGAGGCAGCCTGGCTCTGCAGACCCCCAGCCTGGAGAATGGTCACCTCGGGCATCTCACTCTGCTTCCCTGGGAGGGGGACACAATCCCGTGGGATCGGAGGGGTCGGAGCACCCGCATGGCAGAGGGAGAACCTGTGGTGTGTCTGCCTTCCTTGCTCACGCCCCACGTGGGTGCTTTGCGGGCCCACGTGCTGGGCGATGCATTTGCAATACATGATGAGGTCGAGGAGGGCGAGACTGTAGGAAACGCGTGCAACTGCCCGCACACACGCCTCCAGTAAATGAACCCTAATGTGGCTGCTTCCCCCTCTATCACGGAGCATGGCGAGGGTGACGGGAGTCATATCACTTCCCTAACTTGACAAGAGCCTTCCTGTGCCACCAGTCCCTGTGCCCACCCCAGGGGTTTTGCCAGCACAGGCTGGGCCTGCTTTATACCAAGGGCATCCATTTGGGACAACCACTCTGCTTCATCACAAGCTCATGGGGAAGTGACTGCTCCGTGTAGACCGGGACGTCCACCGTATTTGACTCCCCGTGACGGACACGGTCTGCTCAACCATTCGCTGGACGGTCCAGCCCCTGCTCCGCAGGTGACGGGGCCACTCCAAAGGGATGGAGCGACAAGGCTTCAACCTGAGCACATGCAGAACGACTAGCATGCTTGAAGTCAGCCCGTGTTCAGCTCACAGGGCAGCGAGGGGAGCCCTTGCCTTTCTACGCCAGCTTGGCTGGAGGGAAGGAAGGAAGGGGTCCCCTCCCCGCCCCAGCACACACACGAGGGCAGCTTTGAGGTCGAGAGCTGAGACAATAGCAGATGCGAGCCTCCAAGGTTCATTTCTAGGATACATGGCCGTGGCTCAAAAGTCCTGTTGCTTCAGCTAGACAGAGCGGCTCATCTCCTGCCTCCACAAACTCAAACCACATGCGGAGCTTGGCAGAGGCTGCAGCTCAGATGGTCGAACTGAGCGTGGGTGGGAACCGTAACTTGCCGCTGCAAGGCTGCCAGACCCACCCGCAGGGAGGCGGCGGTGGGGGATGCCGAGCGTCGCAGGCTGCCTTCCCCAGCCAAGGAGTTACAACTTTTGAGCAGGCACCCCCACCGCCTGACCACTGAAAGGGGAGCTGCAGACTGGCCCGTGCCCAGCAGCCCGAGGAGCCAGCCAGCGACGGGCCCGCTTCAGAGAGGCAGGAGGGAGGAGGCTTGCAAGGTAAAAAGGGCAGGAAAGCTAGGAGGCTCTTAACCGCAGATAGCAAAACCACAATATTCCCGTGTTTAACTTGAAACAAGTGTTCTCCTGTCTCTCCCCTGCCCTCCCCCAGCGCGGCCTGTTCCCGGCCAAAACAAAAGGAGCTTGGATCCACTTTGCATCCACTTTGCAGGACTCGGGAGGAGAGATATGCAGGACTTGAGAATTTGCCTAGGTTAAAAGCAGCCCAAGTCCAGGCTCGAATTAAAGCCTGCTATAAAAAGACACAGGCACCACCCACGTCCAACCTCGAGCAGACCCTCGGAGCATCCCCTGGGCGTGGGTTGGTCACGTCAGTCGTGGGGCAAACAGAGACAGGGTCCAAGTGCCCAGCTCGACGCCCTGGAAGTGCTCAGGGAGCTGTCTCGGGTGGAGACCCAAAAATATGCCGGGTCTTTTCCGAAGTGTGACCTGGGGGACTTGCACTAGAAATAAAAAGCAGCGATTGCTAACCGTGAGGGTGGCAGAGACCTCAAAACCCCTCCCGTAGGGACAGGATGGACTCCCCATTTCTTGGCACCTTTAAATCAAGATCCTTCAGCAAGACTTGGTCCACCTACCTGCAGCACTGCTGGGAGCATGGGGGTGGCTGCTGGGATGAGCATGGAGAGCTGGGGTCACACATGGCAGCACCCTTAAAGGGGTTTTGCAGCACTCAAACCCTGCTCTTTGATAAGCAGGCCTCCCTGCCACATTTAAGATGGGCGCCCAGTTGGAGAAGTGATGGTAGCCGAGACCGCCAGGAAACTAGTTACCTAGGGGGAGGCAGGAAGGGTGTCAACAGCTTGGGACCCCATTTCATTTGACTCTCCGGAGATCAGGCTTTCTTAAAGGGTCGACCTTTGGACAACCTTGGCCCAGGTGGAACGATCCCCCTCTCGCTCAGATCGGCTGTGCACGTCCTGCATCACAACCACTGCCTAGACGATCAAAAACTAACACTAAATCACTGCCGACCCCTGTCAAGCTGAACATCTGTTCCCTGGGCATCATCAGCCAGTGCCTCGTTAGGGAGCAGTCACCCAGATGCCGGCAATCCTCCTGAAATCAGGCAGGGCACCAGCTGGGGATGATGCCGGGGCTAGTCCAATACGACTTGTGCGAAGTTGGTTGCATTGCCAGGGAAGCTGGAAAGGGCCTAATTTGATTCGGGATTTGTCTGTGCCCAAATCAGCGTTATGCCAGTGCTGACATTTTGGTCCAGCTGCAATTTGATTCACACTGAAATAAGCCTTTGAAAACCAAGCCTCGTTCAGCCTGGTACAATTCTGCCATCGCGCCAGCTCTTGGAGCCTGGACAGAGCTTGCAAACCAGCTGTGCACAACCGGAGCGCATTCGGTATGGGGCGCCTGCGGCATGACCACATGGAAGTGTCCCGAGGGCCCTGCACCAAATCCAGTGGGAGTGAGCGCAGCCTTTCAAGACCCCAGCACTGCGGCTGCAGACCCATGGCTTTCGCGTACTTCTGAGCAGACTTCCTTGTAGAGGACCCTGTCTTCAAAGCGCTGCCCAGTGGGGGAGGAGGAAGCTGAACGGCAGGATGCCCGGCTATCCAAATTATTCCTGGCCCATGCCCTCCATGCGAATAAAGACTTCCCCACCAAGTGCTCAGGCTCGGAAAGAGTCTCTTGCTGGACAAGCTCCGGCGAGAATCTGTTCTGCAGTTGGCGCTGCTCACGAAAGCCTGGCGACTTCACCGCGCGGGGCTTTGAACTGCCCCGGGCTGCTCTCATGCTTCACTGACAAGCATGTGCAAGGCTGGAGGCGCGCCTGGCTGCGGTGGAGCAGCTATCTTGCCACATCACCTTGCCGCGTGCTCTCCCGGCAGAGCATTCCCGAGTCCCACGAGCGTTTCTCCCCCGTTCCCTTTGCCCTCTCACAAAGCCTCTCAGGCCCAGCCACTCCGCAACCCGTATCTGGCTCAACGTTGCATTTTCCCTTTTTCTTTCTTTTCTTTCATACACTTATTTCCTCCTTCCCTCCTCCTCATTCTGCCAGTCGGACGTCCCCTTCTTTCAAGTTCCCATTGAATTATTCCTTAAACAGGACTTTGTGCGGGGCAGAGAAGAAAGGGAAGAGTTAGTGGCTCTGCTTTCAAGAAGGGGCTTAATTTCCTCCAAGTCCCAAGCAGCTCTAAGCACCGAGGTCTCTTGCACTAGCATGCTCCAGCGTGAAAAACCCTCCAGCTCTCAGCAGAGGAAGGAGGTGCTGACCTAAATAAGTGAGGGCACGTGTCAAAGAGCTCGTGCAGCATAACAAGACCATGGAAATTGTCTGCTTTCAGGGGAGCTGGAGAAACCTAGAGAAAGCAGGTTGCAGAGGACAGAGAAATGGGCTGGCAGACTTGCACTCTAGTCCCAGCTCGGATACATGGCATGTCCGCATTTCATTTATTTACCCATCAAACCTCTGCCTTCTCTATTAGGCTCATGGTGTTTTGGGGATAAGACTGTGTCTAATGGTGCCACGACCTCGCTTGGGACCTTTACATGCTGCTGTCATACAAACAGCGTTACTTGCGCAATGTAACACCACGAAGGCCGACATGCTGCACCATGCAGGATGAATGCATGCGGTCACTAATCCACGCTTAACGACCGAGTCGTTAAGCTGCCCTGCTGAAGTCATCACTGGGACGGGATTATGCAAAAAGCTGTTGAGGCTTATTTTAACCAGGTGATGCAATGTTGCTGACCCCAAGCACTGCTATGAAAATCAGCAGCCGCATCAGCGGGAAATCCTCCCTACCTGAGTCACCCCACATCCGGCAGGGCATCGCTATGGGCAGACACCACTTCCTTCAACTCAGGGGCCTGGCTTGCCAAGCGGGTTAGCCCAAAGCAATCCGGGTCTGGACATGGTAAATGCAGACTCAATGCATAGGCTTTAGGGGCAAGGAAAACTGGGCTGAAAGGCCTGATCTCCTGCAGGAAGTCCGTCCAGGACTCTGATCATGTGGAAGCAAGATCGGCACGTGCAGTTATACTAACCTAGCACCTGAGCCTCTGCGATCCTGCCCCCTCACCACCCCACGAGCCAGACCCTGTGCACAGCCGCCTGCCCTCCAGGCTCTCGGCCACCTCCTCATCCCTACACCTGCCCCGACACCTCTGCAGGCCTCTGGCTGGGAACCGGGGCTGCGAAACAGGGTGGTGCAATTAGAAGATTGCTGCATATGTTAAGAGAGCTCACAGCTTGCCCTGAAGCCCTTTGCATGTATTGCTGCTTCAGAATGGCTCCAGCCACTGAAGGAAACAATCAAAAGCCTCGGGCTCCTCCTGTGCATGTTTTGCAGAAGCAAAGCGTCTGCTGAACAGCAAAAGCCGGCAAAACCCTTAGCTTGCGGCTTTACAGTGTGTGGGGCAGAGACCTGGTCTGCTGGGGCACATTAAAACTCTCCGAGATGAGGGTGCGCTGCAGACGAGCTGCTCCCCATCACACGCATTGGTGCTTATGGCCACGGCGCTGCTTTTGTCAATGAATTGGGACCGCAAGAGCCACTGGACTCTGCCGACCTGAACTGGGGGAGGCTCCATTTCCACGTGAATGGCTACTAGCAGGGCAGCCTTTTGGTAGTGAAGAGCATCAGGACACAGCTCAGCCCAGTGGCTTTAGCACTTGCATATTGCTGCACCGTGGTGGAGACTGAAAGGGCTCAAAAGAGAAGTGGGGTGCGCGTGCTCTCAAAACACAGGACTCCAGCAAGCCTGGATGCTAGCAGGGCTGTGTGCAGGTGGACTCGAACCTCTCCAAACTCTCTGGCCAGAAGGACGCTGTGGAGAGACTTGGGCACGAGGCAGCTGCAACTCAGAAGCCTCCAGCCTGGGCACTGTCAGGAAAGAGGCCAAGCTACATTTACATGTCACAGCCTCTGCTTTTCATAATTCCTCATTGCTGCTCACCTCACCGAGGCTGGATTGTGGAGGACAGCGTTGGTACAGCACCAAGCACAACCAGGATCATTTTACGCTGCCTGTTAAGGCAAATCAGCGAGGCAGCGATCATCAGGGTATTTGAAGCAAGCTGACAAGGTGGTCTGGGGTCACCACGCCTGCTGGGGTAACACACAGCTTCAGTCACGCAGTCTTGCCGATGCACAGCAATGGCCCCACAAGGATCTCAAAATGCTTCCTTCGTACGAGGGACGGAGGGCGAGTCTTGCCCTTTCAACAGGCTAGGAAACAAGTCAGCCAAGATCCCCTGGAGTTAGTGTCACGGCGTGGAGAGACCCCAGCGGTTCCCCGGTCCTGATGCATGTGTGCAATGCCACGCTAGCGCTCTCCATTTTGGCAGGCGGCTGTGCAACAGATTACCTGGCACGGGCCACAGGAATACCAGACCACTTATCATGCCTGACCTCATCTTCCATTATTCATGATTAGAGAAACAGCCCCAGCATTTAGAAGATCCATGTCCTTTTTTCATTTTTTTGCTGACAGTCTCAAGTGCCCGTGAGTGGCACCATCCAACTGCTGAGCCAGCAGGAGCGGGGATAATTGGTATCCCCTGAGGATGAGCTCATGCTCGAGGGCAGCAGGAGCGGCTCCTGTCATTCGTTCGGGAATGGGACCTCTAATACTCGGAGGATTCGCGGTTCCTGGGCAAGCCGTGTGACAGCCCCCTTCGCTCAGCTCTGTGATCCCCCCACACAGCGCCAAGCCTGTGGGCACGAACCAAAGGGATTTTTGTAAGACGCTGGGAGCAACTAATTGAGGAGCTTCAGCAGAGGCTGGATTTGCCAGGCCTGTCATCAATTCGGTAAGTAGGGGCCAAGCCCAGACTAAGGAGTGGTTCGCAACCAGGGTGTCGTATCTGGAGTCCCAGGTCCAGTTTTGGCACCCCCACTACAGAAAGGATGTGGACAAATTGGAGAGAGTCCAGTGGAGGACAGTGAAGATGGTTCGGGGGCTGGGGGACACGACTTGTGAAGAAAGGCTGAGGGAACTAGGCTGATTTAGTCTGCAGAAGACAAGACTGAGTGGGGATTTAATAACAGCCTACCGAGGCTCCTTCCAACCCTCCTTTTCTATGATGCTATGACTACAGTGTACCCACTGCTGCCCAAAGCCAAACCAGGAGAAAGCTAACTCAGGCAGGAATGTCCCCTCCTGCCACAGCTCTTCCCAGTCCTTCTCTGCAGACCACTCCTGGAAATGGAGGCGTTTCCAGGAGCCCTTATGGTGGCAGTGGTGCCAGTCTGGAGAGAGCACAGTTGAGAACCAGTGCACCAAATGCTTGACCCATAACCAGTGTCAGCCTGCCTTATTTTTGCTAATGAAGGGAGAAGGTCATAGCTGGTCGTGCACCCTAGCCACAGGCCGACTTCAGATGGGGAACAAGATCCCTGTAAGGTTAACGGCCACTCAGAGGCAGCAGCAAGCCACTGGGTCGGGCTGCTTTGTTGCACATGGGGAGCGGTGAAAGGCAGTGGGTGTGTCTGGATGCCACAGTGGTGCAAGGAGGGCTGGGCAAGCAGGGCATGAGTCCCAGACACTACCATGGGGGCAGTGGGGGCCAGTGGCTCTGCCCAGCTCTCCCAGCACAGCCCCCTTCCCATCCCCAAGGCACAGAAGTGACTGGCTACACCTCTGGGGTGCTGGGTTCACTCTCTGGATGGGATCAGGGATGCTTCCTTTGAAGTGGCATCAGCCCTGCCAAGAGCTTTTAGTTCTTCCCTCCTTTTATTGTCACAGACATCGAGATAACTAACAGATGCAGCAAGTGTCCTAAACGCACCGTATTATGGTCCAGTGCTTGCATCCTGAATGAGAAGGCCCTTTTTGAAATTTTAAAGTCCAGTTTCCTGGACGGATGTGTATCAAGTGGGCAAGCAGGGCTTGAAGGTGCAGTCAGAGGACGGCTGAGTTGGCAGGTCAAACCCTAGTGCTCAGACCGGCTGCTGTAGATATCTAGTGGCCCCGGAACTTGAATTTTGCAGCTGAACGCACAGCTGATCTCTCTCCGGGGATGTTCCTGCAGCTGGGCCATGCTCCAGACTGCAGGGGTGGCAGATAATGCAGAAACATGGTGTTGTGGGCATCAGTCTCCAGGGCTCCACTATGGCTGTATCTCCCCATGCCAACACCTGGCAGCACTGAGACTGCCTTGAAAACATGTGGGTTAGGAGTGTAGGCCAAGATGAAGTGCTTGCAGTACAGAATTCTCACAGTATTAAAACAGGTTTCCATAAAAATAGACAGACCCGATTCAATACAGCTCTTCCCCACCAACAGACCACCCTGCCCCCTTCTTCCCCAACACACCGAGATCTGTACACGTCCCAACTCTGGGAAGAAGAGTATGTGCAAACTTTGCATCTCAAGCCCACATCTGCTGGGCATCCTGGATTAAGCCAGCCTCCAAATACCACGTCCAAACTCAGAAAACTGACAGGCCTGTGGCCACCCCTGTTATAGGGTTTTCCTTTCTCCTTTCTTTTAAAGCCTTTAGGTTGATTTCCAAGACAAACGTGAGCCTTTGCTGTTTCTGGAATTACTGCCGTGTTAAAAAACACCACTTTGTTTCAGGTGCCGGGATCTTATTAGAGAGAGGGAATTTTAGCTCTTTTGGGTGAGGCTCAGGCTCAGCGACACAGCAAGATGTTGAAAGAAAAATTAAAGAGACAATGCAAACCAGCTTCACATGGTCTCAGGAGGCCCAGAAAGGCCAAGTACACAGAGCCCAAATGAACCCTCCTCTCATCACACCTCTCTCATTAGGGGACACAGCTTTTCTCAGGCTTTCAAAAGCTTAGTCCACTCATCCTCAAAGCAGCTTCTGCCCAGTGCGCTGCTGGAGTCTGCAAAGCAGCAGTGCCGAGCTGCTCACAAGCATCAGTGTAGGGCAGGAGGGAACAATTAGGTGTGAGCTGGTCCCCCTCACTCATCCTAGCAGGCTCCAAGGACAGCAGGAGCGAACTGCACAGCATGAGAAGGATCGCAGCAAGCTTCTGGATTGCAAGAGGGGGGCCCTGATGTCAAGCAGGAGGGAACCAATGCTGGCAGTAAGCAAGCTAAAGCTCACGGGGGAATGCAGACAGGCATGCAAAGCACTGCTCTAACGCTTGTCTTTGCAGCCTGCCACCACATCCCTTCCTCTGCAAGAGCCGAAACTCGGGGTCTCTCCCTATACTGGCCCTGAAGCTTCACGGCCTCTCGTTTCCACCACAGGCCAACTCCTCCGCTGGAGCATGGATTTGGGGTGGGAATGTACCAGGTTAGAGGAAGGAAGCTGCCAGAGTCCCCGTGCTCAGAAGGGTACAGCTTGGTCCCCTGCCAGAAAGTCTCAATGCTGCTCTTTGGTGGCCTCCACCAAATCCTTGAGAAATCAAAAAGAAATGGAGAGATTCACAGCTGAATCCATGCACGGATCCCACGGCTGCTACGAGACACGCACAAAGCCCTGAACCCAGAGCTGGCGAGGACCGGGGGGGCACCGGATCATACTCCCTACTGGTGCAGAACTGTTCCCCGCAGCACTTCATCACTCGCCCCGAGGCAGCGTGGCGTGAAACATGCATTTCGAGGTACATGCGTAGGCCCTCGAGCAAGGCGCTGCCTTCACGCATGCAAACACTGGGCTTCCAGGTAACCCGTGGCCAACGCACTCTAGGCTCTCCAGGATTGGGCTTTTCCTCCCCACCTCTCTGGCATGTTGGGAGGAGGTTAGAGAGCTGCAGTCTCCTGGTAAGACCCAAGAACACACTCAGGAAGGGAAAAGCCTATCCATGAGCAATGCTTGGTGGCCCCCGGACCTTGCACCCATCTGGCTGAACTGATGCATGGCTGCATTCACACGTCCCCAGCATAAAGGTGGGGGCCATGCCTGACTGGTGCCTGATGGCCATTGTAGCAACCTCCTTCTTCCAAAAGGGGGGAGTGAATTCTCCCTCCCACCACTTCTCTCCAGGGTCTGACCATGTCTGACCAGAAGAACAGAGGTGGCACAGCTTGCCTAGGCACCCAGATCTGAAGAGGGATGAACTGTGCCAAGACAGGCAGGACCATTAAGATAAGCAGGGAGGCCAAGAAGCCGGTCACGGCCTGGTGCACCGATCTGGGGGTTGCCCTTCTTCGTCCCCAGCTGGGATCTGGGCTGCTGGCAGCCCCAGCCAGGTGAGGAGAGGAGTGATGCACTGTGAGATGTTTGAAAAATCCATGTTGATCTGGGGAAGCGGAGGTCACGCTTGGATACAACCACTCTGCAGAGGTACAGGACACAGATCTCACCGGGTGGCTTCCAGCCTTTCCCGCCTGGGGCTGAAGGGCTGGCAGCGTGGTCAGCCGGACTGGAAGGAGATTGTGTAGCCCCCTGCTTGGTACCTTGCTCCCACCCCACATCTCCATGGCACAGAGCAAAAGGCACTAGGAAGAAGGGGCCTCTGTCCTCTCTGGGTAAACCCAAAGCAACCACCTACCATGACAGTGATGCCATCCTTTTCCAGCGGGGTCTTGTCATAGGTCACCTCGCAGACCCTCACGACTGTTGTTGCGCCGTACTTCTTCAGGTCCTAGGGAGGGAAGGGAGATGGCTTCTGTAAGGGCAGAGGTAGAAGAGATGCACGTATATCCCCTGCCCCCATCCCCTGCCTCACCCAGGCTACTTGTGCAGCTCTCCTACCAGAGACGCAGGGACTCACCAAGAGACCTGGGTACATGCAAGCAAGAACCACGTGCTTGATGTTACGCACGTGATGGAGTGCCTCGGCGAGCCAGGACCACGCAGAGCGTGGCTGGGGCAGACAGCAGAGGTGACATTGCCTGCCATCTCCATACCAGCGTTAGCTCTTTAATCCTTCCTTCCAACCCACCCAAGATGGCTTCCCTTCCCTGTCCCCAGGGCTGGCAGTAAGCACAACGCACACCTGCACAAAACAGCCCTGCCATGTGACAGCTCAGCCTAGGTGCAGGTGAGGTACAGGTGGCAGGGGTCTGTCCTGGCTCCAACACCAACTCCATGCCCTTGGTCATGTCACTTAACCTCATGCTCCTTCCCCATAGGGAGGGGTTTCTGCTGCCTCCCTCGCAGGGGCGCAGCGAAGGCAAGTTAGTTTGCACAAGGAGAAGGAGCCATTTGTTGGAAGGAGACGCCTCTCTCTCTCTCCATGCACTACAATGGTCACCACCCTGGGAACACTGTGGCGCCTTCATGGGACAAGGGGACATCCTGCGATTTCATTACAGGGGCCAGGCTGTCGCGCCAGAGCTCTCCACAGCGTACCGGGACAGGGGTGTTTGTCGGTCTGCCACCTGTCGCTCCAGCAGTAGCACAACTCTGCTTGTCGGAGGGGAAGGGGGGCAGGGACCACTGTTTGCTCTCAGCACCTAGCACACAGCAGAGGTCCGCAGGGGCCCTGAAGTGTGACTCTGGGAACCTGAGCTTTGCCCCTCGCTCTGCCAAAGCCCTGCCACGGACCCTTGGTCAACCCACTCTGCCTTCTCTCTCCCCACTGGTCCCGATGAAGACAGAGCATCTTGCTTTGCACGGGGCTCCACGCCGTCTAGGTCTCCGAAGCCCTGCTCAGGCACCGTGGTAATGCAAAGAAACGCTTATCAGCACATAGCTGCGGTGCTGGGACCAGGCTGCTTGGAGCACTGCGAGGAGACCCAGAGGTCACCAGCCCTGTCTGGAGAGCCTTGAAGAAAACAACCCTAGCATAAACAAGGGCTGAGAGGCAGGCGGAGGTTAAATCACAGGGCATGAATGCAGGAGACGCGGCGTGGGCAAGACCAGGACTTCCGAGCAGCCACCAGAGAGGCTGGGCACCTTCAAGTGGTAAACACACACACAATGACACTTATTTTTAATCCTCCGGGGTATTGCCAGGGCTCCTCTGGTTACTCACATAACCAATCAACATTTGCAGACAACAGAACTGGTTCTAGGAAAAGGGTCGGCTAAAAACAGCCTCTTGGCCCTAATCCCAAGGGCTCGGCAGCAATACCGGAGAGGCAGCTCGTTGCTCCCTGTGCAGATGAAGTGTGACCTCTCTCCTACCTTCTGCTGCACGGGTTTCTCCTCCTGCATGGCACGTGCTTTCCCCCTGCTCTCGGAAATGTGTGCAACCAGAGAGACACACAAGTGCTCCATGGACCTGGGTCTGGACTGGCTGCTTTGCCGCTGAGTGACAACATGACCTTGGGCAAATCCCCTCACCTCTCTGTGCCCGATCTGCTTCTCTGCTTATTTTGGCAGTAAGCTCTTGGGGGCGGGGACGGCCTCTAACTCTGTCTTTGTACCTGGTCCACCCCAGTGTGTTGCTGGAAACCAGCCTCACTGGGATGCTGGCATGCAGTATCCTCCAGTGCATAGTCTTCACTCTCTGTGGCATCCTTCTGGCACCTCTCACCACGGTACCCAGGCACCTGACAAGTGTTAATGCCCTTACCCCATGCCATCCCCACACAACAGCCTGCCAGGGAAATGGTGGATCAGAGAGAACAAGCAACTGGCTCAGGAAGTCTGTAGCGGAGCGGAAAAATGAAGCTGGACCCCCCCAGATCCAGCAAGCTGCCTAACCAGCTGGCTCTGCTTTCTCCACTTGTGACCCCATTTTCCTCACCGTGGGTGCTCAGGGAAGTCGTCTTCCTACATAAGCCCGACTTGGTGGGATAGCTTCAGGCTGCGTTGGGGCTGACCTTGGCCTGGGCCGCTCTGCAGACTTGCCAGCACCGCAGAGGTTTTCATGTCCCAACTGACTTCTTTTCCATGGTTGACTTTGTAGTTTTGTAAGAGGCTAGATTATGGATTTGTATGGGACGGTTGGATAGGGACGATCCTGTTCAGGCAGGGGGTTGGACTGGACAAGACCTCTGGAGGTCCCGTCCAGCCTCACTTCTTTATGATTTCCATGAAGGGTAGGCAAAGTTTCCTGCCCTCGGCATCACTGCACGCTCCAAGGAGCTAGTTAGAAATGCACACAACCCGACGCAGCTGGTCAGGGCTCAGGGGGGATTACAGGGGCTGCAGGGCAACATGCCACAAAGCGCTGCAGAGACAGACGCACACAGACATGGAAGCAGCTGAGGGTCCATTTTGAAGTGGGACCTGTTTTTCCAGGGATTTGGAGCGGGTTTTTTTTTTTTTTTTTTAGATCCATTATCAATGCAACTCTTCTTCACTTAAGCAGCCTGAGGAAGCTGAAGGAGATCATGGCTTCATAGTCAGACTGTGCACAATATGACCAGACACATGGCTTCTTGGTCTCCTGTCCAGCCAGAGAGCTGGCCTGTTGTCCCTGCTGGGTGAAGAGCTCTTCATACAGCAAGAGGGCAGAGCAAGATTTTAATGAGAGACTGGGCCGGGTCAAAACCACACAAACCTGACAGAGGGACTCAAGGCAGGAGCAGCATTTGCAGCTTCTTTTAAAAGGTTTTTGACCAGATTTAAAGCTGACGGTGCCCTGTCCAGCAGCCTATGCAAAACCGCAGCGCGTTGCAAAAGCACCTGACGGCAGCGTCTGGTCTCTGGCGCGGCTGGGAGCTCCAGGAACACGCTTTATGGGAGTAACTACAGCAGTTTCCTTTTGCCCTGTTAAACCAAACCATGCAGTCAGGAAGCCTGGTTTTGTGAGCGCTCGAGGCTTCAGAGCTGCCTCTGACCGGAGCAACTCTCCCTGTAGCCGCCCTTGCAGAGTTAACAGCTGAGTCTGTGCAAAGGTTTCCACTACACATGAAGCACGTGCCAAATCATTTTAATGCAGCTGGAAGCCAGAGTTCATGCCCCAGCTTCAGACAACGTACTGCGGAGGCTGCACTGTTAGGGATCCAACTGAACCGGAGGCCTGCCTGCATTCGGCTTGGCTCGTCTGTCCCCGAGATAAGCCCTGCTCGAACCACCCGTCTCCCTTGTGCGGCTGCCCGCTCGCAGACAAAGACCTTCCGTTTGCTTTTACAACGCTCTGCAAAACACCCCCCGGCTGCTGAGAGCCATGATCAGGACATAGACTTCATAGACATTAGGGCTGGAAGGGACCTCGGGAGATCATCGAGTCCAGCCCCCCGCCCAAAGGGCAGGAAGTCAGCTGGGGTCATAGGATCCCAGCAAGATCAGCATCCAATTTGCTCTTGAAGGTGTTCAATGCAGGTGCTTGAACCACCACCGATGGCAGGCTGTTCCAGCCCTTGGGGGCTCAGACAGTAAAGAAATTCTTCCTTATGTCCAGCCTGAAACGGTCTCGCAGTAGTTTATGACTGTTCGATCTTGTCATCCCTTGGGGCGCTCTGGTGAACAAACGTTCCCCCAGATCCTGGTGGTCACCTCTGATCAACTTATAGGTGGCCATCAGATCACCCCTGAGCCTGTGCTTTTCTAGCCTGTCATCGTAAGGTCTGTTTTCCTGACCTCTGATCATACACGTGGCTCTCCTCTGGACTCTCTCAAGCTTCTTCATGTCCTTTTTGAATTGTGGAGCCCAAAACTGGATGCAGTACTCCAGCTGCGGCCTCACCAAGGCTGAGTACAAGGGGAGAATGATGTCCTGGGATTTGCTTGAGAAGCATCTGTGGATGCAAGCCAGCGTTTTGGTCGCTTTACTAGCTGCAGCATCGCATTGCAGGCTCGTGTTCATCTTGTGGTCAGTGATGACCCCCAAGTCTCTTTCTTCTGTGGTGCTAGCCAGCGTAGCACTGCTGAGCCTATAAGGATGCTGCAGGTTTTTCTTCCCAAGGTGGAGAGCCTTGCATTTTTCAGTGTTAAACACCAACAGGTCCTCGTCCGCCCATTTGCTGAGCCTGAGGACATCCCGCTCTCAGCCCCCTTCAACAGATCTGAGTCCCCTGCAAATTTCTTAGAGCATCTTCTTCACCAAGGAGGGTGCTGGGCTACCACATCCTGGAGAGGCCTCTTCTTTCCGAGCCAGTGCAGTTTACAGCAGCAGCGTGGGTCTGTGCACGTGTACACCTGCACATCATGCTGTGCAGCGACTGCACGTCTGGGATGGCGCACGTGGCTCAGAGCAACTCCCTGAGCATCCGACTGGGCCCTAGTGCTTTGCCTCTGGACCCGAGAGCCTCCTGGAGCCAAGTGAGAGAGCTCAAGACTGCAGAGCAGCCTGCTGTGAATCCCAAGACGTCAAGATGAAAACAGGTGCAACAGGCCTCTGCTACAGCTGGACACAGGGGTGGCTATTAAGCTCCTTATTTCCAGCCTGCCACAGCCAACTTCATCAGTGCTCAGTATCTCTTTGGCTCTGGGGAGCCCTGCATGGCTGTGCGTGTCCATCGCCATGGCTCTTGTCAACCCCAGCTCACATGGACGGCTCAGGTGCACAGCTGACACCTGCTACACAGGCAGCTTCACCAGCAAGGCAGGGGCAGGCACTGCAAGCTCCATCCGATGCTGCATTTCACCCCCTGGGCAGGAACGCTCACTCCTGAAATGTGTGCCGGAGCAAGGCCAGATGCCAGCTCTCCTACAGGACTGCAGCTAAAATGCTTTGGGGCCTTCAGGATGGAGTGTCCCCAGTAAGTCTTGAGGGAAAGTGCCCACACAGTTAGAGGATCCCACCAGCACTGATGTCTCCTCCGAGCCATCCTCTGCACGCTGGTCAGCAGCAGGTGGATGGAGTCTGCTGTCAGTGCACCCTGGGCTCTTGCACTCAAAGATGAGTGGAGAGGTTGCTCGACTTCTCACCCCCAGCCCTTTCATAGTTGCTCAGGGTTGGGGCCAGGCATGCTGGGCACCGTGCAAAGTGTTTGGCTTGCAAGGCATGCAGATGGCATGCAATAACCAGAGTGCAGCTGCCTCCTGGATGGAAAAAATTAAACCTTCAGGCACAAGTAAGATCCAAAGGTGATGCCCAGAAGGTGAATGCACAGGGCTTGGGGTCCTGAGGAGAATCCATTTCCAGCTCCTTTGCGATTTTGCTGAACCCTGAACTCAAGCCATGTCCTTGTTGGGCTTTGGCCCCTGGAGAAGCAGTGCCCCACCTCCACCCCCCCCACATGCAGGGAGCAGCGGATAATGCCTGATGCACTGCTTTTCACTGTGTTGTGCTCAATCTAGGCAGAGGGCTCACTGAGCTACTTATCTGTGCAGCATTACCACACAAACTCCAATTCACCTTTAGCCAGCTGGACTCAAATCAGGGACAGGAGCTGCTGGCCTGTGGCTGCGAGCTGGGCAGGCAGAGTTCCACCACTGAGACGGCAGGCAGCAGAAATGGGTGTATCTGTACAGCCATGGGATTGTTGCTCAAGCAAAGATGCTGCTTGCTGGTCCGCAGCAGGAGAGGACAGGAGTCCGCTTCTGAGCGCACGCCACGAGCGGTGTCAACGAGCTATGGCCCGAGTCCAGGAACATGGGGTAGGTCTGCAGACCTCCCCTTCCAGGAGAGATGTGAGCACAAGGGAAGGAGGCAGAGCACTGCCTGCCTCACCGTGGCCGTGCACAGCTCAATGCAGACACCCTTGCTTGACCACTACCACATTTGTGTGGGACTGGGCAACCCCAGGGAGACTGCAGCTGGGTCACCTGCTCTGCATCCTCATCCTCCTGCAGAAGCAGCCCTAGGGACATTTGCAAAGCATGCCAGCCAGCTCAGCCCAGGCATTTGAAAAGCCAAGAGAAGCCTGCAAGTCGGAGCAGGGTGCTCTGGACTGACATGGCCCTCCTGCAGTCTGGGACAAGCGGCCCAATAGCTGCGTCCCTGCCTGAAGCGAGCTCCAGTGGGCAAGAGGTTTCACTAGGGAACTAGTGCATTGAAGCTAGTGCTACACACGATCGACACAGAGAATAGGGACGTGCTCCCAAGAGGAGAAATGCCAGCTTCCAGTGTTGGGGTTACAAGCTTATGCCCTTCCCCGCAGCCAAGATGCGAGGGGAGTGCTGATCCCGTCAGTAGGAAAAGCCCCCCGGCCCCAACAGCTCCTTGCCATCACTTGAGGCTGGTTGATGGAGAGGGAGCGGAGCCAGCACATTATCCGGGGAGCCGTGAGCAGAGATGGCCTGTGCTGGACATGCCCATGGGCTGGGATCTGCCCAGAGAGCTCCTGCCGGCTGCAACGCCAGCCATGAGCCTGGCTGACAACACAGTCCCTGCCCCAAGAGGCTTGCCAAAAGCACTAGCAGGACGTGGAGCAGGAGGAAGGAGACAGTGCGACTGCCCTGATTCACAGGCTGGGCGCAGAAGGGAGACAGCTCGTGGCCTGTGGCCTCCACCTCTACTGCAAGTGCTCATGAGCACCACGTGGATGCTCGTTAGCAGGGAACTGCCCCGAGACCATCCACCCCCTTCTAGCCCCCTGGTGCAGACCAACATCAAGCTGCCCCACAGCTGGGCATGAACGGGTGACCCACGGGTGGAAGGATGGCTCCATCCCCTCCTCCTTACCTCGATGAAGGTGCTGAGCGTGGCATTGGTGGGGTTGTGGGTGATGAGGAACCTCATGTTCTTGTAGCAGACCTCCACGGGCGCCGGCCGATTCATACGGGCCATGGTGCAGCGGTGTGGGGTGCAGCGCGTGCGGGGAGGGAGATTCAGAACAAACGTTGTGCAAATATTCCCAGCACCGGGCCCGCACCAAGACCCCCCGTGCCAGAAGCCAAATAATATTAACGATGACAGTCCACAACAGTCTTCCTTTTCGTAGTGTCAGTTCCCTTCGTGTGTGCAATGGAGGGCTGCTGCCTGCCTGGCCGCCAGGCTCCCTCCCGAAAGGCCTCTGCGTTGGATGAGCTCCTTGCGTGCCGCTCCCTCCGTCACGTTACCCCATCTGGATACGTGGAGTATTTGGGAGCAGCGACGGGAGCCTGGAGCAGATCAGGCCGCGGCTGCAGCCAGCAGGAGTCCCTTGGGCATGAAAGCCATGCACGGGGGCCTTGAATGGTTAAACCCGAGGGCGCGGACACGGGGCCAGGCGAGCTGGCGACGTCTCTTCCTCACGGGGCACGATGCTGCGCGTGGCAATACTCAAAGCCGCTTCCTGGCGCCTCCATAAATCCACAGCCCGTCAGTGGTAGAGAGAGTCTGAGGGGGAAGAAAACAAACAGTGTAAGATCCCTGCGGGAACGAGCAAACTCAACCTGTGCAGGGGAGTGTGGGGCCACAGCACCAGTAGGGGTGGCCAGTGATGTGCTCACACCAGTGCATGAATGGCAGCAGCAGACAGGCCACACATACCCCTGAACTGGGATAACTCTGTAATGCAGGGGAGGGGTAACCCAGAAAGAATCTGGGGTAAAACACACCAATTTTCGTCTCCATCCATCTCAGCTCCGATTGTCAGCATTAGCCATGGACAGCCCCATGCACCTGGGGAACAGACAGTTCAGGTCCAGGGTTGCCTGTGCCCGATCCCGATCGATCTGCAGGGCTGTCCTGCCAGGAGCCATAAGCACACTAAACCAATGGTTGTTCTGGGTCGTGTGTTAGACTGCTCCTTGCCCTACGTCACACCTGGCCAGGCTCACGCTAGCACCACGGTTCTGCACGGACCTGCTTGGAAGCTGCAGGTTTCTTCACATGCAGGCCTGTCACCCTGTCTGGATGCTGGGGACTCCTGCACTTTGGAAGAAGAGGACCTTTCTCATGCAAATGCCTAGCAGAGCCTGCCTGACGGGAGGAGGCAGGCGTAAGGGAGGTCAGAGCTCTCTGCTAGGATGGGACTGCAACAGGCGCCCAGCCCTGATGCAACTCAAATCCTAGAACCGCTGCTGGATGTTGGATAGCAAGCAGGGTGGGTACGTCTCCTGGGGGTACAGGCGGGATAGCAAGCAGGGTGGGCATGTGTCCTGGGGGTGCAGGTTACAGAGAGCTAAGCAAGAAAGGGCAGCTGCTGCAGATGGAAGCCTGTACCCTGCAACCAGGCATTCACGAGCGCACCTTCCCTCCCTCCCAACCCCCAGCTCTTCTCCCACATCAGGTTTTTGGCTGGTTTACAAGCTGCACCAAACCTGGGCCCCTGGCTGGGTGGAGGGAAGGGCTGGGCAGCGATGGGGAGAGCTGCAAGGGAGAGGAAGCGCCTGGAACAGGCTGCATCCAGCCCAGCATGGCTCTGGGAAAGGCGGAGCGGGCGTTGCTAGTGGCAGCGTCTGGGCATGGGGACTTTTCTTATCAGACGCACCCACATCTGCATTCTTATGCAAGCGCTCGCTCTTAAAAACCAGCAGCTGCTGGGAAGGAACCTGGCCATCTGCTTCGGAAAGAAGGGATCTACCCTCGAGCCCTGGCTGCAGGTAGCCACCTTCCCCAGCTGAGCCTGAGAGCAGGTTTCCTGCAGGGCATGGGAGGGTAGATGGAGGCACCCGGGTGCTAGCAACTGGCTGGGGAGTTTCACTTCCCCAGAACAACCCCTGCCAAAGGTACTATTCTGCAGCTTCACCCCGAAGGCAGGCAGCAGCAAAGGCAGGCAAATGCATGGCTTGATTTCAAGACACTGTCACAAGTTTCACGGGCTTCCCCATTCGCTGCCTGCAATGCCCAGGGACTCCCATTCCCCTAATGCCTCCTGGTCCCAGCGTGCCCTGTCCCACGCCCCCAGGTCCTGGAGGCGAACCCTGAAGCAGGAAGGAGCAGCAGCCTGAGTATTTCGTGGCTTGTCCCCAGCCAGCTCCTTTCAAACTTAGCTAGATGGAGCCACCACTGAAGTGCTCTTCAACCATGGAGCCCAGAGCATGGAGAAGCCGAGGGCAGGGCCCAAGAGTTGCACAGAGACACGTGAATTGCTGCATGGGCTGGCAATGGTACGAGATCTCCTGGGTGCCAACCTAGTGCCCTACTCCCCAGATGACTCTGCCCCCTTCCCTGCACCAGAACAGACCTCGTCTAGACTAGGGTGTGCAGGGGGATGTCTAGATGCATGGACACAAACTTCCCAAACACGAGCGGACCTGCACTGATAAACCATATGTTGTCAACACACCGTAGCCCCAGCTGCACTGTCCCATCCCATGCAGCTCAACAGGGTCAAGAACTCCACCAAAAGCCACGGGGACCTCCGAGGCTTCCTACAGGTCCAAGAGTGGCATTAATATACAGTGCGTATCCTGACCTATGGTCTCCAGGAGGCACGAGAGGAGCTCCTCGCTCAGGTCCTGCCTGGGTTGGGAGCTCTGCTACTAGGGAAGATCTTCCCCTCCAGCAGAAGTAGGGGAGCCATTGGGAGAAGCTGCTGGCAGAAGTAGGGAGAAGTGCAAGATCTACCCAGGAGGGAGCAGATATCCCCCTGTAGGGATCTTTCCCTTCTGCATGCACCTCCCTGGCTCAAACACCCACCTGAGTGCCAAGAGCCTCAGGATTTGAGCCAAGCAGGGCTGCTGGCTTCCCGGCTTGGAGCGATTGCAGTGGGAAGAAAGCGAGGAACAAATAGGACTTTTACCGGCTTCACCAACGCCATGGAGGAAGGATGGCCCAGTGGTGCAGGCGCTAAGCACAGGGATGGAGAGACCTGCACTCAGTTCCCTGCCCTGCCACAGACTTCCTAGGGAACCTTGGGCAAATCACCCGGTCCCTTTGGGACTCAACCTTCTCATCTGAGAGCTGAGGACAAAGGCTCTTGCCTACCTCACCAGGGTGATGGGAGGTTCAAGGCTGGCAACTGCTCAGATTAGCTCTAGCACTAGCTCCCAGATGCCAGCAGCGGTTCAGCCTGGCGCACGTTCCCAGCACATACAACACAAAGGGCTGCAGAAATGGGGTTGGCTGAGAAACTGGTTTGCGAGAGCCTGGCTGGGGGAGTGATCCCTGGGCGGATTTACAAAGCAGGCAGGAGATTAAAAACCGACAGGCGACTCAGAGAGAGAGAGATGCTATCGCAGAGCATCCATGGTGCCGGCGAGCGCGGGTCCTTCCTCGGGGCTGGAAGTGAGCACTGCAGGGAAGCGCCCTTGGCAGATGCCGCCGCCGTGCTTGCCCTGGCAAGCTGCACCCAACTCCTGCCGTCACCTGCCTCCCGAGACAGCGCGGACGTGGTTCAAAGGCAGCTTTACCCACCACGCAAGGGAGCCGCTGCACTCACCCTCGCCCTGCTGTGGGGCAAATGAGACTGATGTTTCCAGGGTAGAGCAGCTCCCCTAAAAAACTCCCCTTTGGGACAAAGCCACACGACTTTCCTCCTCCTCCTCTCCCCCACCACACCACTCCGCTCCGCTCGCCGGGGCCGAGGAAACCCCTTCACACCGAGACGCTTTACCGTATCCCTGGCCAGCGAAGTGCGGTGGAGACGTCCGCTGTCATGTTTGCCCAGGTACCTAAGCAACAGCGAACTATCAATCACATGCAAAGAGCCCGGCAAAGGCTGACCCGTCTCTTACCTTTAAGTCTCAAGTGTCTGCACCAGCATAAGAGACCCCGGAGCAGCACAGAGCCTGCACCACTTCTGGCCGGAATAGCCCCTCTGCTTGAAACCAGTCGAGTCTGCCCCGAGCGGCTGCATGGCACAGACACTGCTCAATCGCTCATGTCAAACTAATGCGCCTCTAATGCTCTTAGGTCAGCTAAGCTTTCCATGGGGTTTTCTCCATCCGGACCCCTTCCCACAACACAGAAGTAGAGGCTGGCTCTGGAAAGAAGCCTCCTCTACAGCTGGGTTGTAAAGCTTGAAGCCTGCGAGAGGACGAGCAGGAGCACGGGGAGCTTGCCATAGGTCTGCATGCGTGTAAATAAGTAACGAGCAGCACCGGGAAGCAGCCGGGCTGCAAGGAGAGTGGACTAGGTTAGCCCGACCGCAGCCTGGCTGGCCGGGAGGGCAGCTACTTCCCTGGGGTGTCTTACTACTAAAGCTCTCCTGGTTTGGTGCTCTCAGGAGCCTGCACACCTCCACACGGACTCACACACGTGTGCATGTCCCAAGGTGTAGCACAGAGCAGCTCATCTAAATTGTATAACTGCTGCTGACAAATGTGGATTTGATGGGATCGAATAGCAGCAGCACAGGGGCTGGCTCCTTGCTTTGGAAGGGTGCAAGCAGGAGAATGAACAAGAGACGTGCCAGTACTCGGAGAAAGTTGCAGGGCATGAAACTCTCTCCAGGGAATGAAGAGATACCCCACCTACTGCTACAGGACATTTAGCAGTGTGCTCAATTAGAGGGGAAAGCAACAGCGAACTTGTATAGCCCCTCCTTCCTGCAAGCATACCATTTATGGGGCTTTCCAGAAAGAAACAGTCCCAGAACATCAGTGCTGCACAGATTCAAGCCTCAGCAACTCAACAGCCCCAAAACTAAGGGATACATTGGCAGGGCGATGACGAACATGTGGGAGGAAGGGGAGAGCTCCAGGTCCGACAGGAACGCTCTACCACTGTCCGCCGCTCTCGTCAGCGCCCCATTATATTCTCGTAAGGAGACTGATTCGACGGCGAGACTCTTGTTTTGAAGCCCGTACCTTCCCCAGGTCACAGGCTGCTTAGCACGATGCGGCCGGTTCTCAAAATAGAACCTAAGCACATAAGTAAACTGAAACGGGAGACGATCGGCCAGAGCAAACTGCCTCTCCTTGCCGTGCACACCACGCAAAACGTGGCTGGCACTGGGCTCGCCTGCAGGAGGGGGGGGCAGCTACCCCGCGTTTCCATCACCCTCACCGTTCATGCTACACCATCAATCATGTCCATGCGCCACTGCCCAGCGCACCTACACGCACCACTGCTAACTAGTAGCACTGGAGGGGTTAAAGACTGAAGGCAGGAGCGCTGGACTGGCCAATTTGACTTTGCTCAGGAAATTCAGGAAGACGGGTACAGCTCCCATTGTGACCCAGCAGGACCTCAGTACCAAATGCTGCATGAGCACAGGCAGTCCTTGTCCCAAATAGGCTCCAGTCAGGGGAGGCTAGGTAAAGGGTGCAGATGGGAGCGACGTGCGGGTTCACCTTAGGAAGTGGGGACCAGGCACGGAAAGACGGGTTCGTTTTCCCAGTGAACGCGGCCTGTGGCACGACGAGCCCATCTGGAAAATCTGGCCCCGATTATAGGTCAGGGAATTTGGCCTGGTGGCCAGTCTCTCAAACCCTGCTCCCGTGCCTTCA